ACAGTTTATTTAAGGAAAACTCAAGGTTCTGATTCTAATCTTATTCACAGAGGAATTTACACCAATCAGATTACTGCAGCCAGTAGGAAACATTAGACAAGAAATCTTTACATAGAGCTTAAGTGTAAGACTAAATTTAAAACAAAAATGCTGTTTGCAATTCAAGGTCTTTTTGTATAAAAACACTTCACTCATGCAACAATGACGGATTTCTGTTAAAACACACTGAGAACATCATCATTTCCAGAAATCCTTTTAGTTGTTGAGAATATGTTGTCAGGAATCACTTTGCTCTTGTGTTTGTAGTCAGTTATCCACTTTAAAGTCGTTCCAAGTTGCTGCAAGTGACAGGAAGTGCTGCTTTTGTTAAAAAGATGTGTTTTAATAATGCACGTCTTGTAAACAAAGGATTGTTGGTGCATTTGTTGGCTTTAGATTTGACTGGGACTTCTATGTAGCTGTTGCAAAAGAACCTGATTTGATCTGTGATGAGTCAGTCTGGTGGGGTATGGTCGTGCATCAAAACATTTTCAATTACCTTATATTTCTGGGAAAAATGAAATAAATAAAAAAGGAAGACATTTTATCATACTGTGAAGACACTGCCACCTGCTGGCTGAGGGTGGAAGTAACCTAAAGTAAATGAAGTTTAACACCTTTAACTTTTTAACCCAAGCGTTATGGAAAATAGAAACAAGTCATTTTAATGTTATAAAACCTTTCCTGATGATTTGTCTCACGTAATGAATTCCTTTCATGAAGGAAGCCTGTCATTTATTTAGTTTAAAATTTTTCAAAAGGCTGTAATGAAATCCCTAATAATGAACACATGGGAGAGGGCTGCCACGACACTCGTTTCAGACATGATTTCCGCAGAGAATATGACAAATCAGAGAGGCAGACTTTAAACAGAGGCCTTGTTGTTTAGAGAGGCGTTCATCATTTCTGATGCTTTCCACAGCTGCTGTCTGTTCGTCCTCTGGCCAAGAGCACTCAGCTTCTTGTTTCTGAAACCAGCTCGGCAGTGAGCAGAGATCATCTTACAGTACACATCGTATTATTTTAGTGCCAGTTCCAGCGTTGTTAAAGAAATGGTTAAAAGGAATAATAAAGGCAAAATGAAATCAGCAAATGCACATGCGGCTCACTGATGTTCAGAAATTTCTCTTTGACTTTTGAAATAAGTCCAAGTTATTTTTTGTTTAATGACCAAACAATTTAATATATATTGTTTTGTCTTGTGTATATATATCATTTAGAACAGAAGTGTCAAGTATTCACATTCAGTAAGCACTTCTCTCATACCCCAGTTTGTTGCTTCAAAGTAAATAAGATTAACAGGCTGGTTTCTCTTTATGTGTCTTACTGTACTGATATCTCTATCTTCCTGTTGAAGTGACACAATTTTAAGTTTAATTATCCTAATCTGACTGGTAATTCCAACATTGCCTGTGTAACAGTTTCTTTCTGTTGCTTTCATTCCATAAATACACACCCTGAGCTCTCTGTCCCAGGTTCATCATCTATCAAATCATGTCTGTCTCTCATGTCGCTGATCTCATTTCTGATGAAACAGTCTGTTGTTTAATAACCAGCTGTGCTCCCTGGAGGAAAATTTTCATTGCTTTACTCCCTAAAAAAAGGGAATTTGTTATTAGAAAGATAAAAGAAATCTGCATTATATGAAGTTTGCTGTGCTCCCTGTTCTAAAATCCCGACTGCAGATAACTGGTAAAATATACTACAGCATGTACACCAGCATTATGAAGAGGATCAGAGTACATGTGTTGGTTTATTAAAACTGGAGAAAAACTCCCTGGTACAAGTGTTGAGACAGTTTCATTAAGCTCAGCCAAAAGATTTGTATTTTATTTTTAATTTTTCCCCCCTGTGACAGGACGCCAAGAAAAAATATGACAAAGAGACGGAGAAGTATTGTGCAGTACTGGAAAAGCACCTTAGCCTCTCAGCAAAGAAGAAAGAGGCACATCTACTTGAGGTAAGATGCCGTGTCTGAGTTTAGACCTTGCTGGTTTCTCTGAGCGAGCAGGTTTTACGTGTAACCCTTGATTATCGGTGTGTCCGTTTTCTTAATTTCCTTCTCTGTTGTAGGCGGACAACCAGGTAGATAACGTGAGGCAGCACTTCTACGAGGTTTCTTTGGAATACGTCTTCAAGGTGCAGGAAGTCCAAGAGAGGAAGATGTTTGACTTTGTGGAGCCTGTAAGATGCTACTAAAAAAGCTCTTCTTCTTCTTCTTTAAAGATGTTGCGCACTTTTTGTAGCAGTGATTTGTGTTATAGTCACACTTTAAGATAACCAAGCACATTAGCTACTCAGTGCTAACTTTTGTTGAGGTATTCTCTGTTTTCCCTTACTTCTTCTAAATTGCCAACCTTTTACTCAGTCTTCCTGTTATATTTTCTTTCCTCCACCCAGACATGTGCATTAATTTTTTCTGACGTACCTTTTCCCCTATCCCCGTGTTGTTCATCTTTTTTTGATCTTTACCTTCATTCTGTTTTTTTCTTCTTCCTGTAGCTGTTGGCATTTCTTCAAGGCCTTTTCACCTACTATCACCATGGCTACGAGTTGGCAAAGGACTTTAATCACTTCAAGACCGACCTCACCATCAGCATACAGAATGTAAGATCAAGTACACACACACACACACACACACACACACACACACACACACACACACACACACACACACACACACACAGTAGTGTATCAATGGGGCATTATATCATTTTTGAAGACGTTCTCTATTCTTAACCATATTTACTACTTGTCTAACCATAATCTTAACCATGACCCAAATTGACCTTAAAATCGCCTGATGAGTACTTCCTGTTGTTTCTCCTATAAGGAAAACATGTCTCCACAGTGCAAACAGCAGATAACTAACCTGTTTGTTGCCACTTGGTTTTCCAAAGAAAATTGTTTCTATGTTAATGACCCCACAGCTAATTTAATTTATTACAAGAGAAAGCACTTTTTTGATGAGTTAATGGCCTCATGTAGTATATAACAATATTTATTTAGCATTATATGGTCCAGTTAGAATAAACCTGATGAATAGCCCTTACTTGTGATGTGTGTTTTTAAACCAAAGATTCTCAACTTGCAGCTTTAAAATAGGCCTTCAAAACCTGTTCATTCTGCAACATATAAGGCTTGTTATGTACTTTCCCATCTACAAGTTGAATTTCTGAGGAATTCTGCTTTTGTTGGCAGACGAGGAACCGTTTTGAGAGCACGCGGTCAGAGGTTGAGAGTTTGATGAGGAAGATGAAGGAGAATCCACATGAACACAAGAGTGTCAGCCAGCACACGATGGAGGGCTACCTGTATGTGCAGGAAAAGCGTAAGTAAGCCACATACAACAGTGAACGAGTGTGTGTGTGTGTGGGTGTGTAACGAGGTAAAGTGTGTGGATGTTAGTGGCATCTTGTTTGGCTCACACGGTGTCAGAGCAGCAGAACAAACAAGCCATAATGAACCAATGGCTGACAAACTCAAGTCCGATCTGTTGGAGACGTGACAGCAGCTCTGTCCACGTGCGGTAGCCATGGTAACACTAAAGCACTAAAAGAGGTCTGACCAGGACTCGTCCTTTTCTTTTTCTTTTTTTTTGGTTCTTGTTGTTTTGACCCTGTCTCCAATTCACCCATTTTCTTTTTTTCTCTTCTCCTTTCTTGTGTTTTTGTTTTTTTTACCACTCTTCATCTCTATGTTTTCTATCTATCTTTAGGCTCATTTGTATCTACTTGGGTGAAGTACTACTGTACATACTACCGTGAGTCCAAGAAAGTCACCATGGTCCTGTTTGACCCTAAGTCTGGAGGTAAAACGGTGAGTAGCCTGTGCTGTTAAAATATACAGATAAAATCACAAGTTCACTAACAAAATCCAGGTTTGGACTTGCAAACATTTTTTGTATGGGAGAAAAAAAAAGTACACAATCAGGTTCACTTCACAAGCGCCCTCATATACAGGCGCTCATGCAAATGTGCTTCGTCCCAGTGTGGATAAGCACCACTTAGTGTGTGTTTTTATTTAGTTAGTTTTTATTATTCCCCATGCCCGTACTACTGTTTTCAGCAATCAGCTCAAAAAGCTGTGCGTTTTCATTCGGTCGCACAGTCACATAGCGAGATATGGGTTTTACGAGCAAGTGCTAACGACTTCTTCCACGTCACCCTTAATAGGTGAGAGTGCAGTGTGGGTGAATAATGTTCTGAGTAAGCAGCAGTAAGCAGAAAATGTTGTCTCCAACTGTTTTCTCAGAGACCTATCTCTGATCGCCCTCCACCTACAAACCGATTAAGCCAAAGCTGATATGAGCCTGAAGTGCAGCTCAGTTCTGAGAAAGTTGCCACAGTTTCATTTTGAGTAACTGAAGGAAACTTGGAAACATTAAAAGTCATAGAAAACCCTTTGGCTTTAACACAAAGCTCTGAAAACCAAAATAGCAAATAAAGAGTAGGTGGACTGCACTGAAAGTAAAAAGCACTCACTAATGACATCAAACTTGGCCCATCTGCGCTTTGCTTTAGAGTATGGCAATAAAACCTGTACTTTGAATTGGTATGACACCAGAGTGTGTAGTCATCTGTAGATTGTGAGTTATCACACTCATCTACCCATCCATTTTCTTCCCCGTCTGTGGCCATTTTAGAATCACCAATAAAACTAAGTACTAGTTACTACTAAGTTAGGCTGTGGGAAGAAGCAGGAGCATCTGGAGAGAACCAGCATAGGCACACACAAAGAATCCATGAAGGCCCCAGCAGGCTTGCAGATTCAAAACCAGTATACCAGTATACCCATCAATTGTTTCAACTAGGTAGAAACAATTGTTATTACCTTTGAACAGAAGTGATGTCACCATAGCATAAATTGTATAATATTGTTGCTACAGGTAGCAACATTGTCTGTCTGTGTTTTCTTTACTTATAAGAAAACTAAGCTTTTGAAAAGCTAAGAAGCCGAGTGTCTCATGGATAATGTGTGAAATGGAAATAATATTGCTGTAATCCTTTATATTGGTTATAAAACTGCCAGATGGCACTTCCCACACATTAGTTTATAGTGTCTATTTCTTCATATTGTTCTTTTTAAAGCGCATATGATTCATTGCCCAGTTCAAACAGCAAGTCTTACTTCTAAATTGGAAGTCAAGGCAAATTTAAAATGCTAAATCTTCAGTTTTACTCCAACGTAAGATATATTTCAACCAGTGATTCATTTTTAATAATAATAACTATATGCTACATACTGGTTTTTTTTTGTTTGTTTGTTTGTTTGTTTTTCTGCCCTTGCCTCTGTATAATACGCCTTATTGGACAAGCCTTGGAGCATGGAATAAACTGCTATTGAGTTCTTCTG